GAAAAAAGCATTAGGAAGGAATTAAACAGTGGCATGAGGTAACTTCTGGAAGAAAGGGGTACATTTACCATCTTGTTTGTGGTTATGGCTGCATGGGTATATACATATGTTTAAACTTAACAAAATGTACATTGTAAATATATACAGCTTATTGTATACAGTTATACCTTAATAAACCTTTTTGCCAAGTATAAAAAAATCCAAATTTGAATTCTCTTCTCCCAAAATATATAGTTTTCAGGGACATTTGGAGTTAGCACTATTACACCTGAATTTAACCAGTGAGTTATTTTTCACTCATATTTAGTAGTGATGTTTAGTAGTAAATATCCATATACTACTTGGGAATTCCTGTACCAACAATGCTAATCACCCAGCATGAAATGTCACAGCATAATGGTGATTTATGACATGTTGGGTATCTTCACTATTGTGCTCCCATTTCAAGATTTTTGATCTTATGGAATCAACTTAGCCAGACAGTCTGGATTGAGGGAATTTTTATAACCAATCAAACTTAAGCCAAAGACAGCTTTTCACTTAAAATGAAGCCTAGCAAATAATAATAATAAATAATAATTATAACAATAATAATAATTAAAATAATATAAAACCTAGTGCCAAGTTTATAGCTACAGCAACCTGGAAACTAAATTCCAAGTCATCAGTTATTTAAAAATCACACTCATAAGAAAACTGGCATTTGACCCCCGGGGTTCAACTCTGGCTATGCTACTTACTATCTTTATAATATTGGGCAACTCTGTGCCTCAGTTTTCTCAACTATTAAAATAGAGATAATAGCATCTATTTCACAGAACTGCTGAAGGATTAAATAAATTAACACACGTAAATGTCTTAGAAGACTACCTGCCAGTGCTATCTACATTCTACATATGCTATGACATTAACCATCAGGGAAATGTAAATCAAAGCCACAGTGTGATACCATTTCACACAGACTGTCAGGACTATAATAAAAAGACATAATAAAAGAGTTGTTGAGAATGTGGAGAAACTGAAATCCTCATATATTGCTGGTGGGGAAGTAAAATGTGCAGTCATTTTTCAGGTATACAGTACCTGAAAAGATTAAACCTAGAGTTAGCATATGATTCAGTAATTCTACTCCTAGGCATGTACCCAAGAAAAATGAATATCTGTTTTCACAAAAACTTGTACATAAATACTCCTAACAGCCTAAACAGGGATGTCAAACTTATTTTCACCGGGGGCCGCATAAGCCTTGTGGTTACTTTTAAAGGGCCTAATGTAATTTTAGGACTGTATAAGTGTAACTACTCCTTAAGCAAGAGCTCAGCACTGCTGCCGGATGGAAACATGGTGCCAGGCCAGATAAAACAAGGTGGAGGGCCGGATTTGGCCTGTGGGCCTTGTGTTTGCCACCAGTGACCTAAAAGTAAAACAACCCCAGTTATAAATTGGTAAATAAAATGTGTTATATCCCTGCAGTGAAACATTATTTGGCAATAAAATGAAATGAAGTAATGATATATGGTATAAGCATGGCTGAACCTTGAAAATATTATGGTAAGTGAAAGAAGCTGGTAAAAAAGACCACATATAAAATAATTCCACTAATATGAAATGCCCAGAGTAGGCAAATCCACAGAAAGAAAGTAGATTAATGGCTGCTGGGAAGTTTTAGGGGCAAATGATGAGTGACTGCTAATGGGTATAAGGTTTTTGGGTTTTTTTCTGAGGTGATGTGCATGTTCTAAAATTGGTAGTGGTAATGATCACACATCTATGAATATACTAAAAACCATTGAATTGTACATTTTAAAATGGATGAACTATATGGTATGTGAATTTGATTTCAGTAGAACATGTTAAAATGGATTGGAAAGAGGAAAGCCTCAAAACAACAATAACTGTATTAATAATAACCAATTAATCCCCCTCTCTAGCCTCATCCTGTTCCATTCCAACCATTAGTCTAGTCTATCCATAATGGCTTTGTTGCAGTTCCCATATGTCTTGCTATTTGAGGTCCTGTGGACTTGTTGTATCTGCTTCTTGGAATTATCTTCACTCTGCCTCTACATGCCTAACACCTTGATATCTAAAATTAGTCAGAGAAAGCTGATTGCCAGAATCAGTTCCCTTATCCAGTGCCTAACATGATAGTTTTATTTCTCACTCTTGTAGACCCTGCTCAGGTGATTCAGAGATCCAGGATTCTTACCTCTAATGTCTTTGCCCTTCCTGAAGTCTTTGAGACTTCCATTGTATTCTCTGCATTTGGCCAAGAGAACCTGCAGGGCATCGGCACAGACAGGACCTTGAAGAACTTTCCAAGGGATCAATATAGTTTTGATCATGGTATACTTCAAATGATGTCAAGATACTCAGTGGTCTTGGGTGCAACACAGAGATTGTTAGTTTATGACTCTGTAACTCAAATATATTGCAATAATCTCCCCCCGTTCTTTACCATACCTTCATAAAGTAAGAGGTGGTTATGAGACTCAAAGATAAAAATTTTCAAGAATAAGAGTGTTGAGGGAAGAAAATACTATTCAGTGTCTCAAGAAACTTATGATTTAGCACAGGATATAAGCTAGTGTTAAAGAAAACTTCTCTTCAAGTGCTATTTATTGAAAATTGGAGTGCATCTCTCAGGACAAATCTAAGTATAACACACAACATACAAACTGTTTGCACAGGTAGAGAGGTGCTGTCAACTGTCTTCCACTCCCACACTTCCAGGCCACCTTATTCAAGGAGAGCAGGACATGAGGACTGTGGTAAGAGAAATCTGGAAGTGCTCACTTTTATGGATGGCAGGGGAGAGGAGGGGGGGAGAGAGAGTGAGGGGAGAGAAAAAGGGAATCTCATATATTTATTTGACGTCCCTTAATACATTTATTCTAAAAGATAATATAGGCAAATATCTCTATGTTAAATCTTTATAAAACTGAAATCCTGAAAATTCAACTTTTGATGGAATCCATTTGTTTTCCTAGTCAAATTGGGCTTAATTCTTAATTGGTAATACAAAACCTAATATGCTTATGAAGCTCCATCTCACAGCACCTGCTATTCAGAGTGGAATTCAGACTGGCGGTTGGGAGTACCAAGTCCAGAATTTCAGATCAGGTCCGTAATTGGGGTGGGGAGGGGCTTTGGGCGGGGCCTCCAGATGGGGAGGAGGCATTATTAGAAAGCCGCGGGGCCAGTTCAAAGCTGTCACTACTCCCGTTAAGCCTTACACTATTTAAGCGTGCGAGAACCTGGTGTGTGAACAGCATTCTCTATGACAACGTTTCACTAGACGTTTGAGCACAGGAGTTTTTCGGACTGACCAGAAAAAGTGAGCTGCAGAGAGATCACTGTCGCCAGCTATGAGGAGCCGGCAGAAACACTCCTCTCTTCGACGACGAGCTGTACTGAGAGGTCCAGTAGCCCCAGGGTTTTAGGGAGAAGGGAAGTGGAACGCGGGCAGGGATTGGGAGCTGCACGGCAGGCGCGGTTTTGAAGCCGGAGAAAAAGTGGGGAGACAGAGCCGCACCTAATTGCTCTCGCAGCTGCCGCCACTCGAGTGCAGACTTGTGAGTACTCTGCGTCTCGGGTCCTCAGACTCAAGTCGGAGAACTCTCCTGGAGAACTCTCCCAGTTAGGACTCAAGGTCCCGCAACGACCGGTCCTGCCCTCCCCACTCGCCTCGCCTCGGGGACGGAACAACTGCCACCCTTCCCCTGCCTACCAAATAGAGCTGACCAGCGCCGCCCCGTTCTGACCCAGGAGGTGGAGATCCCCCACCCCCAACTCCGCCCGGTCCGGCCAAATACAACACCGATTTTCTCCTCCAGCTGCTCCTATATCCCGGACACCCCCTCCTCCTTTCCTTACCCCTCCTCCCCAGAGACAGGGGAGGAGAAAAGTGGAGTCAGGTCATTATGACAGAGCTGAAGGCAAAGGCTTCCCGGGCTCCCCACGTGGTGGGCGGCGCGCCCTCCCCCACCCGGGTCGGATCTCCTCTGCTGGGACGCCCGGACGCTGGCCCCTTCCAGGCGAGCCAGACCTCGGACGCCTTGCCCATAGTCTCCCTGGGTGGGCTTACCTTCCCTCGGCCCTGCCAGGAACAGGACCTGGACGGAAAGGCGCTGGACCAGCAGGCGCTGTCAAACGCAGAAGGGGTGTATCCCAGAGTTGAAGCCACAAGAGGTGCAGGTAGTGGCAGCTCTAGACCCCCAGAAAAGGACAGCGGGCTACTGGACAGTGTCTTGGACACACTACTGGCGCCCTCAGGTCCGGGGCAGAGCCACGTCAGCCCTCCGGCCTACGAGGCCACCAGCCCCTGGTGCCTGTTTGGCCCGGAGCTTCCGGAAGAACCCCAGGCTCTCCCCGCCACCCAGGGGGTGTTGCCCTCGCTCATGAGCCGTCCAGAGAGCAAGAACAGCGACAGCTCCGGGGCCGCAGCTGCCTATAAAGTGCTGCCCAGGGGCCTCTCACCATCCCGGCAGCTGCTGCCCTCGACCTCTGGCACCCATCACTGGCCCGCGGCCGCAGTGAAGCCGTCTCCGCAGCCCGCGGTGGTGGAGGTGGAGGAGGAGGAGGATGGTTCTGAGTCCCAGGGCTCCGTAGGTCCGCTTCCGAAGGGCAAACCGCGGTCTCTGGGAGGCACGGCGGCCGAAGGGGCAGCCGCGGCCACCTCTCCTGGGGCGACCGAAGGAGGCGTCGCCCTGGTCCCCAAGGAAGATCCCCGCTTTTCGGTGCCCAGGGTCGCCCTGGCAGAGCAAGACACGCCAGGGGCGTCCGGGCGCTCCCCGATGCCCACCATGGTGATGGATTTTATCCACCTGCCCATCCTGCCACTCAACCCGGCCATACTCGCCGCGCGCACCCGGCAGCTGCTGGAAGGGGAGAGCTATGACGGCGGGGCCACGGCCGTCAGCGCCCTGGCCCCGCCGCGGGGCTCGCCCTCGTCCTCGTCCACCCCGACCCCCGCCGGCGACTTCCCCGACTGCGCGTACCCGTCCGACACCGAGCCCAAGGACGACGCGTTCCCGCTCTATGGTGACTTCCAGCCGCCGGCCTTGAAGATCAAGGAGGAAGAGGAAGGCGCCGAGGCCTCTGCGCGCTCCCCGCGGCAGTACCTGGTGGCGGGTGCCAACCCCGCGGTCTTCCCGGATTTCCAGCTGGCGGCGCCGCCGCCGCCCCCGCTTCCTCCGCGAGCGCCGTCGTCCAGACCCGGGGAACCCGCAGCGGCGCTCGCACCCGCCGGTGCCTCGGTCGCGTGTCCCTCCCCGTCGGGGTCCACTCTGGAGTGCATGCTGTACAAAGCGGAGGCCACGCCGCCCCGCCCGGGCTCGTTCTCGCCGCAGCCCTGCAAGGCGCCCGGCGCGGGCTCCTGCCTGCTGCCGCGGGAGGGCCTGCCCTCCACCTCGACCTCGGTCTGCGCCGGGGCGCCCCCTGCGCTCTACCCGCCTCTGGGCATCAACGGGATCCCGCAGCTCAGCTACCCGGCCGCCGTGCTCAAGGAGGGCCTGTCGCAGGTCTACCCGCCCTATCTCAACTACCTGAGGTGAGGGCCCCCGGCGGCGGCCCCCGCCTGTCGTGAGGGTGGCGGTCCCGAGAGCTGGCGGCCCCCAGCCGCGGCTCTCCCACAGCGGCCGCGAGGGCGTGGGTGGCCTGGGCGGGGCACCGGGGTAATTCGGCTTCTTTTTTTCCCTTCCTCTCCTCACTGTTTGGGGTCCCCAAAGGGTTCGCAGAATGTGCCCTTTTTTGGAGCGTCCCCCTCCAGGAAACATTTTTTTCTTCCAAATAGGCGCGTTTCCCAGGCAAGACCAGCCCTGACTTAAAATATGCAGCGTCACACGAGCTCCGCCGTAGCAGCGTGGAGAGGAAAGGGTGCAGCGAGTGTGGGGTTTTATTAAGTGATTCTCTTGTTAGAAGGACTTGTACCCGCAATGTCTGTCATGGAGACACCTTAAGGCGCCGTTCGCCCTGGAGGGGTGGCACTTGAAGTAGGCAGGGCAGTCGGCCAGAACCGTTCAATACTCAAACGAATCTCGAGTAATATTAATTTGTGTAATATATTTAAAGTATGGATTTAAATATTAGCCACTCTAGTGCACTGTATTCTAATATTGTTTCGGATTCGCTACAACTTTTCACACGGGTTTTCAAAAACTTTTGACTTTACCTACCGAGGGAATGGAACTTTAAAGAAAATGAATCTTAAGCGCCGCGAATAGGCAAAGCAGTGTCAATATGTGGAACAATCCTTTAAAATGACAAATACATAGACTTGTTTGAGTAAACAATCATTCCAGGGTTGAGTTTTAAAGCTCAAAACAAAAGCATTGGTAAGTACGACTGAACTTTCCTGAACAAAACTTGTATACTATTTATTGTTTTTTTACATTAGTGGTACTGATGAATGGCTAATAATTTGCAAGTCTGGTGAATTCAATAAAGGATTTAGTTTGCATGTCTAATTTCATGTCTTTCAAGTGTGTTTGTATACAGCTCTATTTTTTATGAGCTTTCATTGTCAATTCTAGGGTTAACAGACTTTGGTATTAGATAGTGTTGCACCTAAAAATAAATGGAATACTTTGTTTTGCATTTCAAGGCCAGATTCAGAAGCCAGCCAGAGCCCACAGTACAGCTTCGAGTCATTACCTCAGAAGATTTGTTTAATCTGTGGGGATGAAGCATCAGGATGTCATTATGGTGTACTTACCTGTGGGAGCTGTAAGGTCTTCTTTAAAAGGGCAATGGAAGGTAGGCCCCTTTCCCCTGACCCTTTATTGTTAGTTTCATTGTAAATGGAGACCATCTGATATTTTATAGATTTTAACTATCACATCCTCTAAGAAATGGAAATGTTTCCAAATAATTTAAAACATTATGATGTTTTCCACAATATGTTTATTTATAATACTCAAGGTTGAGTGCAGTTGGATATTGCATCTGCATACTATTTGACTAACATTTTCAGTGTTAGACACAAGTCATATTAATCTTGGGAACAATACTATTGTTGTTCATTAATTATTTAGCTTTAAAGAAATAGCTATGTTGTAATCATATTTCTATCATATTTTATGTAATATACACTAAATTTAAATTTTTGGTCAGAGAAATGGTAAAAGTAAAAATTATATATATATAATTATGTATTGTGTATATATGCATATATATGATGTAGCTATAAATTTCTACATGATTTTGTCTTTTTCCCTACATGCATATTTATGTAATACTTATATAATGGTAACTTTAAACAACTTTTTTATTTAGTGTATTTTTATAAGTGTGTAAGAAGATAGGAGTAAACAGTTTAACTAAAATGAAAAATTTGGACATTACAGTAATATAATTTATTATGAAGTATGTGCTATAAGTAAGACTTTCATTTTTTTAACACCATGTAAATTACATATCTAATGATTTTGGACTGGCTTACATAGTGCATTTCAGACTGTACTTTCATAGAAAATGTTTTTTGTCTTTCTAGCCACACTAAATGCTAAACTGCCAATCACATTTATATGTGAAGATACAAATACATTTAGAGGTCATTTCACATTTGAATTCTAACAGTCAGTGTATTTTATAATGAGCTGAAGCGACTTTGGTGTTTCCTCTCCAGTTCTGGAATCACACCTAGACAAGGAAGCAAAGACATGAATGTCTGCATTTGTTTGGTTTTTGCTTCTGCTAAGTCTTCCAGCTGCAAGAGTCCTGTACTAAAAAAGTAGGAAAGAAGGGAGTGGGGAATGTTTACCTAAAAGGGGCTTTCAAATGCACATTTACACCAAAATAATACCAACCTAATTGTCATTAATTTCCTATCCCTATAGATGCCTAACAGGTGATTCTTCACAACTATTATGACTTCTTTATGAAAATGATGTCCAACTATTTATTAACAGATTTGTATTCCTCCTACTGAAATTAATTCTTCATAAAAATATTAGCTTTGTATATTGCTAAAATGATTTTTCCCCCAAATGATGAATGTGTTTAACAGATGTTGAACATATGTATTTGGCCTCAGAGGGTGTTAATTGCATTTTAAATTAGTTGAGGCACAGTAAAAAGGGGCACTTGAGGAAATGGGACAACTTAGAATGGCCTTAACTTTCCCATCGACATCCATTAATCATAATTACAGGTGGAAACTCTTTATGTGGAAGAGCCTAGTCTCGAGTGCATATTTGGAGTTACTGTTCCTACACAACTTTGGTTCTGGTTTCTTGAATATTTCCTTCTGTATTAATATGATTTCCTTCATTCTTATAGTCTCCTTAGAATAGACTAAATTTATAAGCACATGTCCAGCTTAGAATCCCCTAAAGGCCAGTTTATTCTAGCCCAGCTCCTTCTAGTTACAGATAAGAAATCCTACATAAATCTGAGTTTCCAGAAGCACAAAAGTAGTTAATAGTTGATAGTCAACACAGGTTAGATAATCTTTAATTGCAATGCTTTTTAATCAGAGATTGTGTGAACAAGTAGATATATGATAAATGCTATTTAACCCTTGGAAGCTACTTCAAAAATTGCACATAGAAGCAATTGCTCCCTAACTAAAATACAAATGCTTTTATACTATTATTATCACACTAGCATCCAGAACCCTAAAAAATGCCTCCCCAGGTTTACTCTTAGAAAACTTTTCTTGGACCTGTAATGATGTCATGGTCCAGTTTTAGTCTTGAGTAGTAGAGATGAAACATCTTTACTTGGCAATATTTACAAAGAGGGACTCTAGGTAGATGTTGATACATCATCATTCAGGAAACTAGAACAAGATTACAAAACTATATAAGTTCATTCATTCAGCAATTATTATATACATCTTATATTTAGAGCTGTGCCAAATATATTCTTTTCCTGACTTCCCCTCTCTCTGCCTCAGACATAAAATGAGCATAACACTATCTACTTCTTCGGGTTGTTAAAAAGATTAAATGAGAAAATAAATGTACAGTTTTAAAAGAATGCCTAGCATATTGTCAGCTTCAATTTGTATTGCTTTTACCTTAAAAAAGCTTATTAAAAAGTGGAGGAAGTAATATATATAATAGAGAATCTCACTAAATGCCCAGATGAGCAATTCTGTAAAGTACATAAGTTTGTGAGTTTGTGTGGCTTGGAAGTTTGTATGTTTTGGGCAGGGGGCAAGTAGTTATAGATGGAATGTGTATGTTCTCAAATGATGGGAAAAGACTTCATAGAAGATATAAATTTAGTTATTAAAGGCCAAATGAGATTATCAATTTCTGGGCATTGAGAGCTTGTAAGTGTATGTGTTCAAAGAAGAGAGGAGAGGTTAAGTTTGGACTAATTCAGACTCATATTAGGAAATTATGGGAGTTAACGTTTGGGGCATAGATTGCTAACATTTGGAATTAGTGGGAGAGAATCAGTGATTTAAGGCAATAGAAGAGAGAGAAGTTTCTGGGAGTTTTCAAGAGTGAGAAAGATGAGGAAAGATTTTAATAGTTGGAGAGAAGTACAACATTTGAAACCTTTGAGTAAAGTAGGGCTGGGGGACCAGCTGCTTCAAGGTAGAACTATGTGTGGGTGCCAATACGTGCAGATGTTGAAGTCAATAGTCAATAATTTGGATATTAATGTTACTAAGGATAATAATGGTAATGGCATTTTAAAGTGCTTTCTTATGTGTCAGTAGCTATTTAAGTGTTTTATGGGTCTTAACTCATGTACTCCTTGTAAGGTAGATATTATTAGTACTCACTTTAAATAAGAAAACTAAGGCAAGAGATATTCAATTGCCTTAAATCACAGTTGAAGTGTTCGAGTCTGGATTCAGACCCAAATGGTGTGATTCCAGGATCTGGGCTCTTAGTCATTATACTTTCTCCCATAATAACAAATGTGGATTCAATTTCAAAGAAAAACAATAAAGGGTTGGAAGTAAAATGTCAGCCAAGTGGTAAAACATCTAGAAAGATAAAAGTGAATAATAAAGACAAATGCAAGATTAAGGGAGGTTAGAATTGAGTGATATAAATGAATGGATGATACTAACTTTGCATGTGAGGCTGTGATGAGAAGACAT